GCTGGTATGGTAAATTTATTATTTTTATTATTATTAATTATTATTACTATTATTATTTACATTTATTTTTTCTTTTAAAATAAAGGAAGAATTTGTATTGTGGGTGGTTCAGAAGAGTAAATGTTTGTTTTGTTTTAATATTATAAAAATTCACTCTTTAAATAATTTATTAATTGAAATCATTACCATTTACATTATTGCTATTATTATTATTATTATTATTACTACTACTATTATTATTATAGTTATACTGGCGCACCTTATTTTAGTGCTTATTCTGCTTTAAAACTTGTAAGTATGATACATATATATATAGGGACAAACCATTCTTAAGTAAATGAATTATTTAAAAGCAGTAAATTATTTTATTCATTCACATTTTTATGCATGCCATCAATTACCACTCCACTTTTTAATTTCTATTTGTTATAGGGCGCTGATTTGAGTCATGTATTATGTCATCCATCAGCTTCGACAGCAATAAAGGTAAAGAAAGATGACGAGGGTGGGTTTCTTGAAGAAAAATTATTTTATAATGTATTATTATTATTATGAATATAATCTCTGATCAATATAATTGATTAATTAATTAATTACATTTAGAGCTATTCTCCAGGTAAATTATACAATCTTCAAATATAAGAAAAAAAAAATATATATATAAATTTATATGTATATTTATTTACTATTTATTATTTAGATTTGATGGTTTTTCCTTATATGCGATCATCTGATGATATTAGTGATGATGACAATTCAAAACTTAAAGAAAATGTCATGGAAAAAATAAATTCACTTTCATTATCAAGATTTCATGTTATAGTTGTTGGACCTGGATTATCAAGAGATAAAATAATGTTTGAATGTGCCAAAAGTGTTATTTTGAAAGCCAAGAAAGATAATTTACCAATAGTTATTGATGCGGTTTGTAATTATATATATATATATTAATAATGTTATCTAACAACATTTACAAAAGGGAGAATAGCTTTTTTGAAATTTTTATTCTTTTATATATTTACACAATTCTAAATTATATTTATTTATAGGATGCATTAACGTTGGTTCAGAGTCAACCAGAACTTATTAAAAATTATTCTCGGGCAGTTTTGACACCGAATGTTAATGAATTTAAAAGATTCTGTGAAAAAATGGTGAAGTCACGTTCATATTTGATTTTGTTATAATATTATATATATATATATTTATTTATTTATTAATCAATTAAACTTAATTTAGGATATCGGTATAAGCGATGACGATAAAGAATATGCAATTAAGAAATTAAGTTTGGCTTTGGGAGGTGTTACTATCATACAAAAAGGGCATAATGATTTGATTTCTAATGGCGATAAAGGTAATTGGCCAATTAATTAATCTATTAATCAATTAATCAATTGATACATTCACTCGCACATATTATAACGGCTTGATATATAGTTTTCGTGGTTGATAATGATGGTGGACTTAAAAGATGCGGAGGTCAAGGTGACATCTTATCTGGTTTAGTTGGCACATTTTTATCATGGGGTGCATCATACAAAAACAAATTATGGGAGTAAGTATAAAAAATATTGAAATTATTGATTTTATTTATGATATTTTTATATTATTTTTTAATTAACATTAATCTCTATTTTTTTTTAATAAAAAAGACATGACGATTCAATATTATTATCTGACATACCATTGTTAGCAAGCTATGCAAGCTGTTCAATTGTAAGAGAATGTTCAAAGATAGCTTTTGAAAAATTTGGAAGGTCAACTCAAACTTCTGATTTTCTTGAAGAAATTGGTCCTGTTTTCAAGAAATTTTTCGTCAAGTAAAATAACAAATAACAATACAACAACAATAATATTCTATAATCCCATATGTTTGCTAAAAATCAATACATGAAATTTTTTATATTTTACATATATTCACAAAAATTCAATATTTCTATTTCTTATAAATAACAAATAATCTAATTAATATAAATAAATTTTTTTCTTCATTTTTCTTTACGCTTATCATATTCTTTAACTTTTTTCCAAAGTTTTATTCTATCAACCATTTCTTCTTCAATTTCAAATCTCAAAAATTGTTGTACACTCCATCTCTCGACAACTTTTTTAACTGATCCAACCAAATCACCGACATCTTCATCACTTTCTTCAAGTTTCAACGCTCCTCCTAGAATTATAGCACGCTTATAAACCATTTCTTGTTCATAAATATCTACTATACAATTTATATAATAATGTGATAAAGATAATGATATGTCTGCTACATCATTAACATCACTATCATTATTATTACTCGTTGGATTTAAATTGTTTGATTTTGGTTTTGATTTTTTGGTGGAAATTGGTTTCTTGTTTTGATTTGATTTTTGTGATTTCTTTTGTTTCTTAGCTGATGACGATGATGATGGCGGTGTAACATTCTTACCTAATAACTTATTGTTATCATCATCATCATCATCTTTATCCTTACCACCACTAATTGATACAAATAATTTTGCTCCCTCACTACTACTACCATAAAATAAACTTGAAAAAATCTTTTCTATTTGTAATTGTATTGTTTGCATAGATTTTAATATTTCTTCGAATTCATTATTAAGAATATGATGAAGTTTACAAAGTAAATTTTCTATTTCACAAGATTGTTTATAAATAATTGAAGTCAAGATTTCATGCTGAAATATCATTGAATCCGTGACATTACTACTGTTGTTGTTACTGCTACTGTTGTTGTCGTTATTAAGAATTTTGATGTTTTTTTTTGGTGGTGGTAAAGAATAATTATTGGATTTTTTTAGTTGATCAAGTGTTTCTTGACGTTGAGCTAGAATATTTACTAACGATGAAAATAGCATACATGATCTTTTATGGCTCGATGACCAATCTTTACATAGTTCGTCAATTCTTATCAATAAATTTATATGTTGTGGGGTCGCCATTTCTCTTGGAAAAAGGAATAAATGAAAAATAATAAAATTATCTATCATCAATTGCGTTTCACAAGAAATTTCCAAAGATTATTTAATATTATAATAAATTAATAACAAATCATTGCTAAAGTATTTATCATCATCTTTATCATCACGTAAAAAAAAAAGCGAATGAATGTCCTTCTTTGCGTACTGAAACAATCAAATCAAATCTTCTTCTTTTTGACCATACATTAAACTTTTATGTTGAAGAATATTACCACGACGAGGATCACGCTGAATAATTCTTCAATAACAATATCGACAATGATAAAGAAAAATCATTCAGCATGATCTTCATAGTGGTAATATTCTTCAAAATAAAAATTTAATGTATTATTATTATAATCTACATGTAATGTTTTTAATGATTTTTGTCAAAGTAGTTATTATGTATAAGTGTGTGTAAGTAAATTTTGATCGTTGATTGTTTGTTCATGTCGTATTAACATATTAAAACTATGGATTGATCGACAAAACACTTCTGACGACGAGGTGTATAATTGTTAGTTTAGCTACAAATGCGCCCGCCAGAAAAAAATCATTTTCTATATAAAATACATATATGTTGGACATTCACGATACCTTTTCTTTCCTTTTTTTTTATTTGGATTATATATTTTAATAATAAAGTAATTGCGAATAAAATTTTTAAGGAAAGATTTCATGGTCGATATTTATATTAATTTCTTTTCTCTTTGATCATCTAAATCCATTTGTTGAATAATTATTTAATTTATTTTGATGTTAATAATTGTTGTAGTATTGTTTTTTCATGACGCGTTTCTCTTGAACAGGATTAGAATAACACTTTTCCCCTGTTAATTATTATTAATATAGAATTTTAAAACTAATTTCAAAAATAAATAACAATAAAGGAAGATGAACAATACAAAAAAATTCGTGTTATTCTTTCTCAAAAAAAATTTTTTTTTTCTAATATTTTAAAGTTAAAAATGTCCTTTCAAAAATTAATAATACCGACCAGAAAAGAATGATTTACAACGAAATGTATAATAAGAAATAAGGTTTTATCAATTATATCTGGTCGAGAAAATCAAATGCATTTTTTTTTACAATTAAATCAATAACAATAAGGAAACTTTTAGAAAATGAAAAAAAGAATATTCCAGAGAAAAATTTATTTGTGATTGTGAATTAGAGAATGCAATTTATAAAATTATGTAAGCCAAGAGAATGCAAAGAATCGCAAATCAACAATATGCTCACCCTAATAGATTGTTAGTCTACTACACTTGCAGATTTTTTTCAATGCTTGGACATTTAGAAGTGACACGGTTGATAATTTTATTTAACAATGTCAAATGCTTTCATCCTTAGCAACTCAAATTATAGAATGTATACATACCTTTTGAGCAATTTGATGATGTAGAAAAGCTAATAAAAGTAGTAGAGATTCAGTATAATTAAACTTCCACATATGGAGAAAAGGAAGAATACGTGACTATAATGAAGAGAAAAAAGAATTTCTTGATTATGAAGCTCAAAATGTAATCTTGAAAACCTTTAAATAATTCAATAGTTTTTTTATATGGTTTGTAGCTTTTATTTAAACGAAAATAAATTATATAGTATCGTATTATTAATTGATTTTATTTCTCAGGCAATGAATTATGCAGTGTTCCTTAATTATCTTTCAGAAGGTAATTTAAGATACTACAATATTTAAAGGTTACGTGAATCATGATTTGGGATTATGTGGACCCAGATGATGAAAAATCATCAGATAAAAATCTACGGAATTATATATATTAATATGTTGCACCGAGCCGCTTGAAGGCAAAATTAATAAACGAACTAATATTTATAGTGTTGGGATGTTAATGTGAGAAATATCCGTCATTTGATAATAAAACTCATAATCATTGTTTATTGGATGATTTAAAACTTCTTGACACCTAGTACTAGCAAGAATTTCAACTTTTTGGAGAATTTTTGGAAAACTTTCAAGTATAATTCTACTTTATTGCAAAAGTAGAATTTTTTAGAATTGCATGCAAGAGCAAGCCTATGTGCAATACAATGAGTCACAACCAGATGCTTGTTTCTTGAGATAATCTGGTAGCTACATCTGATTTATTTCTCATCATAACCGAGGCTCCATCTGATGCTAATGAAAATATCTTATCAACAAGACCTAATTTTAGCAGCCGATGAAATCGATAGTCATCTTCATTTATGGTTGGTCCTTTTGGTATTTCCTAAAAAACAAAAAATATGATGTCGCATGTGATAACACATCAGAGTTAAACAGATCTGGTACACAACTCATTTCACCAACTAAAACTGACTACCCGGCTAATAAATGACTTAACAGATTAGCCAGCTAATCAGCTAAAATCACCAGGTACGCCATTTCTTAATATTAACGGATAATAATGATGACATGATATAATCATGGCAGGAATATTATAATAAACAGATAGAATGTATTAGAAAACGTCTTGTCAGAGAAATGTCCCGCAATCCATTAAAACTGGCATTAAATTCAAATTTATTTTGAAATTATTAAGAGCATCTCATTGCGAAGAGCATTTTTAGCTTAGAAAAACATACTTGACAAATTGGTTTGATTTTGTTTTATTAAATATAATAATAAATGTATGTTCAACCCATTTACTTGATAAACTATACAAAATTGTATGGCCGTAATTCATTTTATTTTTTGTGTTGCTTGAAAAAATCAAGCAGCAATAAAATGTTATGTAATAAATTATTGTCAATTGACAGAGAACAATTTGTAAATGAAATCTATAATGTAATAGTTAATAATGCCATATCAATTGCAAATGATACTTATAACAATGGTTTATCAAATACTTCAAAAGAAGAAACTGAAAAGGCTACATTTTTATCATTAGTAAGTGAAAACAAAGAACTTTTAGAAAATGAAAAAGAATATTGCAAGGAAAGATATATTTATTATGAAGAATTAGAGTATGCAATGTACAAAAATGGTGAACCACACAATTGTAAAAGATGTAATGCAACAAGATATTCTACTAGATTTTGTGAAAACTGCATTAGCTTACACCTACAAAACCTTTTTAATACTTGGACTTCGGAAATGAAATTGTTGATGGTTTTATTCAACAATGCCAAAAACTCTCAGCTCTCCCAAGAAATATAATGGAATGGATCCCATTTGATCAATTTGAAGATATTGAATATTTAACAAAAGGAGGAATTGGTAGTATTCATATGGCAGGATGGACAAGAGGATATATAAATGATTATGATGAAGACAAAAAAGAATTTAGTTATTTTGGACCTCAATTAGTAGTTTTAAAATGTTTAAATAATTCAAATAACATTGGAAATAAATTTTTTGATGAGGTAGTAGTAATTTCATTTAAAACACAAATAAATAATTTGTATTTTATAATATAATATTAGATTAATTGAGTTTATCTATATTTCAGGCATTGAATTATTGTAAAATTAAAACAGATATGATTGTTAGTTGCCATGGTATAACTAAATTCCCAGATAATGGAAATTATGCAATGGTTCTGGATTATAGGCCAGAGGGAAATTTAAGAGATTATTTACAAAACAATCATTTAAAATTAACTTTAAAAGATAGAATTACAATTTTTTCCTATTTATGTGAATCATTATATCATATACATTATAAAGATTTAATCCATTGTGATCTACACAGTGGTAATATACTAGTACAAGGTGGTGGTTGTTATATTACAGATTTAGGATTATGTGGGCCAGTTGATGATAAATCATCAAATAAAATTTATGGAATCATGCCATATATTGCACCTGAAATTTTTCAAGGGGGGAAAAATACAAAAAAATCAGATATTTACAGCATTGGAATGTTAATGTGGGAAATATTTTCTGGACATCCACCATTTGATAATAGATCTCATGATATAGATTTAGTTTTGAATACTTATGATGGATTAAGACCAGAAAATTTGTTTAATATGCCAGAAGATTATAAACAAATGATGCAAAAGTGTTGGGATGCTGATCCATCTAAAAGACCAACTATTTTGGAGCTTTGGGGATTTGCTGAAGATCATTTAACTAAAGTTCATAAAGGTGAAGTTTTAAACAACAGTGGTAGCAGTGCTGGTGGTTGTGATGATGATGGTGATAATGATGTTAGTGGTGGCAATAATAATATTAACAACAATAATAACAATGATAAAAACATCATCAACAACAATAATAATATAATCAAAAAATTAATTAAATTAAAATTTGTAAATTTTATTAAAAGAAAAAAATATATGCCTGATAGCGATATCATAATAGCATCAAAATGATTATTCCATTGATGATAATAATAATGATGATGGTTCACAATTGAAAAAATATGAATCACGCCCATAAGCATATAATACAAGTAGAATATTCAAAAGTTATTAATCCTAAATCAAATGATAATAACTATAAAGTAGTAATTCTAGTTTATGAGGCTTCAGTATATGAACCTAAAATTCCTTAGCAAAGTACTGGAATCAATATTATTGCTAATGTTAAATATTAATAATGTTAACCCTGGGTTAAATTGATTAATTATTGTTTATTTATTATTTAAATATAATTTTTTTTCTAATTAGTGGAAAATACGATTTATGAAGAGTAGTAGTAGGAAATGTCATTGTAAACGAAATTGAGAAGTTGACGAAAATAATAAAAAACAACAAGATTTTAAGATCCAAGATTTAACATAATCATTTGACTTTTAAAGGTTTAGATCCATTCGTGTTATTTATTAGAATGTAGTTTCACTTTAAACTTTATAGTATTTATATTATTTGATTTGATTTATTACTTTGAATATCCATATCCATCCGTTATATTTTAATGTATTTAATATTAGTGCAATTATTAAATATAAAAAACATAGCTTCATTATAGTGAGATCGTGTTCGAGTCATAAATAATAATAATATATATTTACGCTTTACTTTCGAAATTATATCTCAGTATGTTTCACTATAATCTGTATAGCCAATTCTTAGTTAACAATACCTTTCTAAACAATTCTCTCACTAGGTTTCACACTCTAATCTATGGAGCCATTCCTTAGTAAACAATACCTCTCTAAACAAAAAATAAAAAGAAAATAAAGAATAATTATGCACTGACGGGATTAGTGTGAATGCTAGCCCTTTTATTACTTGAGCTTATTTTCATTGTTAAAGGTAGGTTTATTATGATTATGTGGTCACAAAGATTTTTTATCATAATCCCAGTTGGCGCAACCGCAAAATAGTAATAAAATAAAATCTGGGAAAATTGAAATGATGTTATTTTGATCTATTAAATTTAACTTAAATACAAACGCTCACTTTGTCATTGCTTCTTTGGAAATAAACATTCCTCCATGCTTTTTAATAAGCAACTTTAAGGGAGATTGTTATACTTACTAGTCCTATTCATTGTTATGTCATATTGTGTGGGATTTGAGAGAGATTACGTTTGCATTCAAAATGTTCATGAAAGGATCAAAAATATAATTAATAATAATAATAATAAATAAACCTGGTAGCACTCGCTATTTTATGAACCAATCGTTTAATCAGTTGTTGATTTTCTAAAGAATTCAATTGTCTGGTCTTTGTAATAATGTAAACAAAGTGACGTTACTTTACTTGTCTCGAGAAAATTCCCTTCATCGTTTAATTGGTAATCACTATTAAAATTTATATTTAGGTAAATTTTCCTTTTGAAAGATATAAGGAAAAAAAAATGAATGCATGCATTATAATGTATGACCAACAACTTTAATTTAACAATCAAAAAAATATAATCTTTGTTTGATTTATATTTACGTGTAACACCCGCTTTGATTAGACATTCCCAAAAACAGGATTTTTTCTTAAAATTATATAAGTAGCAAGTTTTCTCTTTAAACAGTCCACTATTCAATTAATCAAATTATTATAAATACTTCATTACTTTACCATCAACAATCTTTTCTCAAAGAAAATTAAATTTCAATGTTGGAGAAAATTATGATGTCATAGATGCTGTGGGAGAAGGAGCTTATGGAGTTGTTTGGTATTTATTTTATGATTTATTTATAATTGGAACTAGAAATAAATTGATTCTGGACAATTTATATGAATAAATGCTTTTGTCAAAAATTTATAGTTCAGCTGTACATAAACCAACTGGGCAAAAAGTTGCCATTAAAAAAATAACTCCTTTTGATCATTCCATGTTTTGTTTACGTACACTTCGAGAAATAAAGCTTTTAAGATATTTTAATCACGAAAATGTTAGTGTCACGCATTCTTGATTGATTTTTAAATTTTTATTTGTGTTAAGATATTAACTAACTTGAATATATAAATATTTTTATTAGATTATTGCTATCTTAGATATTGTAAAGCCAGTAAGTTTTGAGAAATTTACTGAAGTGTGAGTAACTAATTTTTTTACATTCTTTACCTTTACTTTTTTTTTATGTTTATTTCAGATCAAACTAATCGTATTTTAAATTTTATTAATATTTACAAGTTATCTTATTCAA